ATTTTCGGAAAGGTTATTATGAGTTTTAGGGTGTGGATTATTAAGCTTTTGTTTTTAATTTGTAAACATTTGTGCAAACAAATATGAAAGCCAGTCTATAAAGCCAGTCAACAAAGCCAGTCAACAAAGCCAGTCAACAAAGCCAGTCTATAAAGCCAGTCAACAAAGCCAGTCAACAAAGCCAGTCAACAAAGCCAGTCAACAAAGCCAGTCAACAAAGCCAGTCTATAAAGCCAGTCAACAAAGCCAGTCAACAAAGCCAGTCAACAAAGCCAGTCAAGAGGTTCAGTCGGACAAGAAGACCAGACAGTTTGAGATAAGAGAAGCAATAACTGACACACGGTAATTTTAGCAAAAATTATAAATAACAAACTGTAAGGCCAGAGGCGCGCGCGCGCGCACGCGCACACACACACACACACACACACACACACACACGCGCACACACACACACGCGCACACACACACACACACACACACACACACACACACACACACACACACACACACACACACACACACACACACACACACACACACACACTGTGAAAGGGTGAAAAAAATTAGTTAATAGTTAATAACAGTTGATTGATTGACAGTTAAGAGCCGGGCCGAAAGAGCAGAGCTCAACCCCTGCAAGCACAACTAGGTGAATACACACACTAGGTGAGTACACCTAGTACAACTAGGTGTACTAACCTAGTTGTACTTGAGGGGGTTGAGCTCTGGCTCTTTGGTCCCGCCACTCAACTGTCAATCAAATGGTATACAGATTCCTGAGCCTACTGGGCTCTATCATATCCACATTTTAAACTGTGTATGGAGTCTGCTTAAACCACATCACGTGTGTGTGTGTGTGTGTGTGTGTGTGTGTGTGTGTGTGTGTGTGTGTGTGAGGGGGAGGGATGCTGGTGGTGGCGTAAGGGGGAGAAGCGACCTTGCAGATGTACGTCGGAAAGAGGTAGAGAAGGGTATTTTTGTGCCCAGAGGGATGGTGCCCGAGGAAGGGGGTGATGCTCAGATGATGCCCCAGGGAATGATGCCCCAGGGAATGATGCCCCAGGGGATAACCGCCAAGTGTTTCATACAACGTCGAGGCAAAATGTCTGTGAAGAAAGATTGGAAATGTCAAGAGAAGGAAATACAAAACATGAGAATACACCTGATGATCTCCTACAAATAAAGACCATCGGGAGTTGTCAAACCTATTGAAGCCTCGTCTCTTTTCAACTTGGATTACGGGAACCTGATCTAGCGTACTAGAATTAACACTGGAACGGTGTTTTAGTTTTACTTTATCCGAAAGTTTATGGCTTTAAGCGTGCTTGCTTTCTTACATTGCTTGTCGGATTCCTTGGCTTTCTTTTCCTTTCTTGCTTTTCTACCTTCATTTCTTGTCTGGCTTTCTTACTTGACTGGCTTTCTTATCGGGTCTCCTTCTATATCTAGCTTCTTTTCTTTTTTTGCCTTTTTTCTCATTTTGGTTTCCGTGGTTGTATGACTTTCTTGGATATCTCGCCTATTTACATATCTGATTTCCTTCAGTTTCTTGCGTCTTTGTTTCTGTGGGTCTTTGCGTGGTTTTGTTTATGTCTGACTTCCTTGTTTGGAATCCTTGATTGTGTGACTTCCTTATCTGATCTTTTTGTCTGTTTTGATTGGCTGCCTGGCTTTCAATAAGCCTTTCTTGAATAAATTGAAAAAATTATTAATCACGTTTGTTAAATTCAAGGTCCGTGATCTTCACTTAAGTTGGAGCTGTTCGAAATTTTTTTGGGTATTTCTGCTGTATACTCAATCTTCTTGTCCCAAACGCACTGTTCGCCTTCAGAACACATCTCATCCGAACCCGTCCGAACAACTTCCGTCCCTCCCTCCACACCTACGAACAACTTTCGAACCACTTCCACCCCTCTAACCCAACCTTCCTTCTCCTCCCCAACCTTTTTTTATTTATTGAAACCCCACTACACTTCTCCCTCTTCCCCCCCTCCCTCCTCCTACACTAGCCTTCACCCCTTCCCTCTCACCACCCATTACCCATATACTTTTATCTCCCCAATTCCCTCCCTACTTTCCTGTGCTCCTTCCCTTCTACTCTCCCATCCTCTCATGGCCTGTCTCTCCCTCCTCCTCCTCCTTCTTCCCCCCACTGTACTTTCCTATTTCTCATGACCCCTCTCCCATGCCCCTCCTCCTTGCATGACCTAGCAAGGGCACCAATTACGGCAGCTGGTCAACCATGCCGTGAAGCCTCAAGTGTGTAAAGCATTGACCTTCCAACAGGTTCTCCAGGAAAAGAAATGTACACCGATATAAAGAGCCAGAATAATAAGAGAAAGACTAATGCCAAAGAATAATAAAAGAGTGCATAATAAGACGAAGACTAATAACAGAAAGAATAATAAGAGAAAGACTAATAACAGAAAGAATAATAAGAGAAAAACTAATAACAGAAAGAATAATAAGAGAAAGACTAATAACAGAAAGAATAATAAGAGAAAGACTAATGCCAAAGAATTATAAAACATTGCATAATAAGAGGAAGACTAATAACAAAGAATAATAAGAGGCTAATAACAGAAAGAATAATAAAAGAAAGACTAATAGCAGAAAGAATAATAAGAGAAAGACTAATAACAGAAAGAATAATAAGAGAAAGACTAATAAGATAATATACAAGAATATGAATACATTATTCATGAATCTTGTGTTGACATGCACCTCTTGCTTCAACTCATCGTATTTACTGATGAGTAAATTACTACGGTGGGTTATTTAGGGTTATTAATTTTTGTTTTCTTTTAGATAATTCATTATTTCAAAAGATTTTACTTCTATTACTACTACTATTATTACTGGTGCTCCTACACCTACTACCAAAACTAATACTACTACTTTTACATTTTGTGTAACTTGTATTACAATTATTATTGTTTAGAAACCACACCAGCCATGGAAAAAACAACCCGTTCTCGCACTTGCTTAGTCAATATTTGCTTATTTACCAAGTGCATATATGACATACTAATTGATTGTGATTATTTTAGTTTACCTTGAAAAGCTTCATAGAAAACACCGACCTCACCTAACATTCTTAGTATGTTAAGATAAGCATCTTATTGCTTCATATTTACAATTATTACTTAACCTATCAACGGTATAGGTTAAGTAATAATTGTAATTAAGAAGTAATAAGATGCTTATCTTAACCTACTAAGAAGGTTAGGTGAGGTCGGTGTTTTCTATGAAGCTTTTCAAGGTAAACTAAAATCAATTAGTATGTCACATATGCACTTATTAAATAACCCAATATTGATTATAAGCAAGTGCGAGAATGGGTTGGGAAAAACACTAAACATACTAATAAAAAAAATGAACATGAAACAAGTGCAAATAAAATTTAACAGGTAACCAATCAAAGTCACTGGTGAGAAAATGTGAAAATAAATGTTAGAAAAATATGCAAAAAAAAACAAAAAATATGGGGTTGGGGGTTGGAAGGGGGGATGGTTGTGGGGGAGGGGGAGCATTGCATTTTTGTTAAAAAATGTGAGAAGCTTAGAGATGCACCTGTTGACAGGTGCGCGCCCATGTTTACTTTTCTATGCATCTGAACATCGAAAACGTTCATACGTTTCTGGTTGGGTAAAAAAAATTAATTTCTTACGGAGAGGGAAATCAAGACAGCGGGTTGTCCCGTCAGCTGACAGAGAAACCCATTAATAATATAAGTATTTTATGCATAGTTACATATAATAAGATCGATCTAAGTCATGAATTTGTTATACAAGAGTCGCTTAACGTTAGTCTTCAAATAAACGTTTTTCAGGATTCATACAGAAACAAATTTTTGTTATGGAAAGTAACAAATTCCGTAAATTGAAACATTTCCAAAAAAATTTATGCTAAATTGAAACAGTCTCAAGGACACGGTGTGAACGGTTAATAGTGCAATCTTGTCTAAACCCGTCCTCAGACAACCCGTTCTCGCAAATTTAATAAGTCAATATTGACTTATTAGTTGCGTGCATAGGTGACATACTAAACATAATAGTTTCCCTTGAAAAGCTTCATAGAAAACACCGGCCTTACCTAACCTACTTAGTATGTTAAAATAAGCATCTTATAGCTTCGTAATTACAATTGTTATTTAACCTATTATAGGTATAGGTTAGGTAATAATTGTAATTACGAAGCAATAAGATGCTTATCTTAACATACTAAGTAGGTTAGGTAAGGTCGGTGTTTTCTATGAAGTTTTTCAGGGGAAAATATTATGTTAAGTATGTCACCTATGCATATATTTAATAAGTCAATATTGACTTATTAAATTTGCGAGAACGGGTTGCCTCAGACAAAGTCCATTCCATGCAGCGGTCGACCCCAATGACGCATTCATCAATTTTAACATGTTGTTCATTAAAAATAGGAATTTTCTCAAATATAAAATTATTATTTTATATTACCATATTGTACATATTTATGCAATTGTTAGGTTGGGTATTTAGGTTCTGTTAGCGATTATTTGTATTTGTAGTACGTGGGTGAAGCATTTACAGCGTTGTGGTTCGAACAAAATTTGACAGTGAAGCACTTGTTCCTGATCAAGAACGAGTTGAGATAACTTTATTTAATCAATTTCCTTCTGTACGAACAGCAAAACATAAATCTTATAGTTTATATCATATATACAAACAATTAAATGTGTTTCACATTTCACATCTTGTTCCGGAAGTGTTCGAACGTCATCAGTTGAGAGTCGTGTGTAAACCGTTTTTCAATTCATAAAAACGGGCTGTAGGGGGGGGGGGGGATTGGCGGGTGCATGGAATGGACTTTGTTTTTGTTCACAGGACGGGCTGCTTGCCTGTGTCTTACGCATACCTGTGTCACCTTATGTGTTTACGATTCACTGATATCGCTTCGTCGCCGTCGCCTCGGCGAACTCTTCCCACCAACACCGCATCGAATCTCTTCTCGCACAATATTTGGATGTCCTAACACACCTGCTCCTCCTCCAGCCACGGCAGCAAGGTCAACTGCTGCTCCTCCTCCAGCCACGGCAGCAAGGTCAACTGCTGCTCCTCCTCCAGCCACGGCAGCAAGGTCAACTGCTGCTCCTCCTCCAGCCACGGCAGCAAGGTCAACTGCTGCTCCTCCTCCAGCCACGGCAGCAAGGTCAACTGCTGCTCCTCCTCCAGCCACGGCAGCAAGGTCAACTGCTGCTCCTCCTCCAGCCACGGCAGCAAGGTCAACTGCTGCTCCTCCTCCAGCCACGGCAGCAAGGTCAACTGCTGCTCCTCCTCCAGCCACGGCAGCAAGGTCAACTGCTGCTCCTCCTCCAGCCACGGCAGCAAGGTCAACTGCTGCTCCTCCTCCAGCCACGGCAGCAAGGTCAACTGCTGCTCCTCCTCCAGCCACGGCAGCAAGGTCAACTGCTGCTCCTCCTCCAGCCACGGCAGCAAGGTCAACTGCTGCTCCTCCTCCAGCCACGGCAGCAAGGTCAACTGCTGCTCCTCCTCCAGCCACGGCAGCAAGGTCAACTGCTGCTCCTCCTCCAGCCACGGCAGCAAGGTCAACTGCTGCTCCTCCTCCAGCCACGGCAGCAAGGTCAACTGCTGCTCCTCCTCCAGCCACGGCAGCAAGGTCAACTGCTGCTCCTCCTCCAGCCACGGCAGCAAGGTCAACTGCTGCTCCTCCTCCAGCCACGGCAGCAAGGTCAACTGCTGCTCCTCCTCCAGCCACGGCAGCAAGGTCAACTGCTGCTCCTCCTCCAGCCACGGCAGCAAGGTCAACTGCTGCTCCTCCTCCAGCCACGGCAGCAAGGTCAACTGCTGCTCCTCCTCCAGCCACGGCAGCAAGGTCAACTGCTGCTCCTCCTCCAGCCACGGCAGCAAGGTCAACTGCTGCTCCTCCTCCAGCCACGGCAGCAAGGTCAACTGCTGCTCCTCCTCCAGCCACGGCAGCAAGGTCAACTGCTGCTCCTCCTCCAGCCACGGCAGCAAGGTCAACTGCTGCTCCTCCTCCAGCCACGGCAGCAAGGTCAACTGCTGCTCCTCCTCCAGCCACGGCAGCAAGGTCAACTGCTGCTCCTCCTCCAGCCACGGCAGCAAGGTCAACTGCTGCTCCTCCTCCAGCCACGGCAGCAAGGTCAACTGCTGCTCCTCCTCCAGCCACGGCAGCAAGGTCAACTGCTGCTCCTCCTCCAGCCACGGCAGCAAGGTCAACTGCTGCTCCTCCTCCAGCCACGGCAGCAAGGTCAACTGCTGCTCCTCCTCCAGCCACGGCAGCAAGGTCAACTGCTGCTCCTCCTCCAGCCACGGCAGCAAGGTCAACTGCTCCTCCTCCAGCCACGGCAGCAAGGTCAACTGCTGCTCCTCCAGCCACGGCAGCATCTTCGAGGTCATCTTCATGGTCGAATTACTGACCCTCCCCAGGATGCAGCCCACCAACAAGCTAATACCCGGGTACCTATTTACTGCTAGGTGAACAGGGGCATGAGGTTAGTCAGCTGTCACGGGCTGCTTCCTGGGGGTGGAGGCCTGGTCGAGGACTGGGCCGCGGGGACACTAAAGCCCCGAAATCATCTCAAGATAACCTCAAGAATAGGAAACGCACCCAACCATTTTGATCCCGCCCAGGATTCGAACCCGGAATTCACGATTTTGAGTAGAGAACTAACCCGACTGGACTACCCAGACACTTACATTTGACTACAAGACTCACCACTCAGTAATAGAGCTCAATATCCGGTTACTGGACCCACCCTCCGGTTACAGTGCACACCCTTCGGTTAGAGGATCCAATATTTAGCGAAGAAATTTTAAGATCTTTTGATATAATTATAAGAAATTCATATCACCACAACGCCACCTCAAGCACATTTTCATTTTACATTAATGAAGGTAATAAAGACAACACAAAGCCTAGACAACACTAAGCTAAGACAAGACAAGACAAAGCTAAGACAAGACAAAGCTAAGACAAGACAAAGCTAAGACAAGACAAAGCTAAGACAAGACAAAGCTAAGACAAGACAAAGCTAAGACAAGACAAAGCTAAGACAAGACAAAGCTAAGACAAGACAAAGCTAAGACAAGACAAAGCTAAGACAAGACAAAGCTAAGACAAGACAAAGCTAAGACAAGACAAAGCTAAGACAAGACAAAGCTAAGACAAGACAAAGTCTCAAAATCAGGCGAGACAGAAAACAAGGCGGCTGGGAGTCACTGTATTAGAGAACTGAAAGATACTAAGACTGGCTTACGAGTTACCACTTGACCCGATAATCAGGTCATGATGGCGCAGTAGTCGCACATTCGTTTCACTAGCGATTGGGTCTGGGTTCGAGTCCTGGTCAGTAATTGGGTTTCCCAGATGCTAACAACAGATTGGCGGTTCGTGTTCCAAGGGATGAAACTAGCGGGCAAGTCTTACCGAGATCCATGGGAAGGTTAAGCTCTAAGCCTTCCATAAGTCAAGTCTAACGTTTATAACTCTTTAAGTCCTCTAAGTCTTCTGTTCCTTTACCCACCTGTGTAAAAACAATAATAATAATAATAATAAAATGCGAACACATTTAGTCGAGAACTCACGCACGCACGCAAACCTCACAAACTACTCTAGTTTTCCGCTCAGGGTAATGTGTTAATTTATATCTCCCGGCCCACCACAACCTCCAAAGAGTTGAGAGCTGATCCCGGGGCAACCCGCCCTCCACTCCAACCTCAGCATTGTAAAAAAAAGCACTTCAGTCACCTCCTGTGGGTGAAGTGTGTGCTGTAGCAGCTCCCTAACCTGTCAATACTGGCCAGACGCAAAAGGATATACAAGTATGTTACACAAACACACACAACCAGCCCCCACTCACAGCCCTCCACACACACACACCAGAATAAGAAACTGTAATAATTCCGTCCAAACGGGTTATAAACAGATTAGACAAATACCTGATGTACATAAACCCCGACCTGTGTCTGCGCCGACATAAGCTTTGCATTAACATACAGCCTCGTTAGGATTCAATGGTGTGTTGGGAAGTAGTTGAAAGAAAGGTAAAAGAAGAGTGGAACATCAGGAGAGGATTAGACTGGTAAAGAATCAACGTACAGTCAAATCGTGCCTGACGACTCCACGACAAAGTACCGGTCATCAGGCTGACCAGAGATGGTCGGCCGAGCTCAATTTTTATAGTGTAAGTAAACAAATAAACTTTGATACAGAACCTTACCGAAGAGAGAGTCTATACAAGCCGCGGGCAATAAAATTGAGTAACGCAAAGTACTGAAACGGGTGAGTGAGCCCCCTTGAAGATACAGGCAGTTACAGTGAGAGAAATGGGACTGGCGCTGAGTAACCAACTAGTGGATTTTTTCAAGGAATGTGTTCTCGGAGTCATATACCACCTATCTGCACAATACTCCAGACGGTTTGACAAATACACACAAATTTAATAGTAGTAAACGTAACACAAGAATATGGACGGGACAAGAGACCAGCGGACCAGTACCTAATCCAAAGAAAAATACCCCAGGAGAAAAGAAGAGCACCACCAACCGGATAGAGTCAGTGGCATATGCGAAACTAGTATATACGGGGCATCCTTTAAAACAGTAACATTTATGATTAGGAGGCATTTAAAACACAGTTCAGCACAAACATGAAACCACTCCTCGAGTACTGAGCCACATGAGAAGAAACATAATTGAACATTTTATAAAGTACAAGAGCTGGTATCGAGTCCGATTCTAAAGCTATGAGATAAGTTGAGCGATACTCGAAAATCCCAGAGGGAGTTATAATATAAATTAAATATATAAGAGGAATTAAAACATTAAAAACAAAAGAAATGTTAATAAATAATAACAGAACGAAAGGACATTTGTGACAAGAGATTACTCATTAGAATACAAGGAAATATTCTATTAGTATAAGAGTTATAGGGAAATTAAATTAATTTAAACAAATATTTGCGGGCTAGAGTGAGTGGTTGAAAGTAAAGATGTCGAAGTTCAGGTTTTTTCCCAATGAACACTTTTTTAATATCGAAGTCTTTAAAATTTTTGTTTGTATATGTTCCAGCTGGTGCCCCCTGTGTGCCTAGCCTGGCTCCTTGGTAATCCAGTCTTGGATTGAGCTATGTTGCACGTGTACAAATATTAACCATTGAATAATATTAAAAGTTGTGATTATTTAGGCCAATGTTGCTTTGGGAAGAATCCAATCAATGTGTTCGATACAAAAACAACAAAGTATCCAAAGTTGTGATTTTGAATTGAGTTTTTCTTCCAGCAAGGCACTGCCCCCAACCCAAATCTGTATGAACTGTTATCTGCATAATCTACTCGACATATTTAGAACAGCTCTGAATTATAACAAGACACGCACCAGGCGATGGTATCTTCAAAAGAAGGTTCGAAAACACCGCATAAAGCTTTTAGATGTAGTGTGATAATAATTATAATTAAACGTCTGATATATCACAAACGGCGCTCAAGTGTCTCATGTGGTGGCTGCGAGGTGTTTGCAGGAGCACTGCTTCTAACGTGATAATAAGCATCGCAAGAAAAATACTCTGCAAGAGAGATATATGAAGATGAGAAGTTGATGCTATTCGGATTTTTTTTAGGTTAATTTCTTTGTTAATGCTTTGACAATGAGTACATGGACCTGTATTATAACCCTTCATGTTATAATGCTTGCTGTGGCACACGATACCCGTCCTCAGTCAATGTTCATTCCATCCAGCGGTCGCCCCCAAAAACGCATTCATAAATTTTATCACTATTCATTCAAAGTGGGAATTTTCTCATATATAAATTATTATTATTATTATTATATATTAGCATATTGTACATATTTAGGCATTAGTTAGGTTAGGTGTTTAGGTTCTGTTGGCGATTATTTGTATTTGTTAACCTGTCCTCGACTCAAGTCCATTCCATCCAGCGGTCGACCCCACAGACGCATTCATAAATTTTAATATGCTGTTCATTTAAAACGGGAATTTTCTCAAGTATAAATTAATATTATAATATATTAGCATATTGTACATATATAGGCATAGGTTAGGTTAGGTGTTTAGGTTCTGTTGGCGATTATTTGTATTTGTAGTACGTGGGTGAAGCATTTATAGCGTTGTGATTCGAACAAAATTCGTCAGTGAAACACTTGTTCCGGATATGTTCGAACGTCAGCAGTTGTGAGTCGTGTGTAAACCGCTTTTCATTCATAAACAGGGGGTTTTGTGGGTGCATGGAATCACTTTTGGATCTTTGTTTGGAGGACGGGCTGGTATTTGTAGTGCGTGGGTGAAGCGTTTACAGCGTTGTGGTTCAAACAAAAGTCGTCAGCGAAGCACTGTCCAGAAGTGTTCGAACGTCATCAGTTGAGAGACGTGCATAAATCTTTTTCATTCATAAACAGGGGGTTTGGTGGGTGCATGGAATCACTTTTAGCCTTTGTTAATGAAGACGGGCTGACGGACTCGAGTCAGAGTTTCGTTGGGTAGGGCAACGAGCTAAATAAAATGGGTTTCCTAGGCCATTGGGTTCTACAGTGTTTAATAAATCGTATTCCCTTCCGCTACTGGTTGAAAACATCGTCCCTTAAAAATAGACGGTATTTTGCCTCGTATGGCTCTAGAATAGTTGTGGTTCTCTGTCTCACAACCTTGATTTTTTTTTATTAAAAGTCTCCTACAAGGGTTGTTATTTTTCTCAACATTGCTCCTAAAATCGGGTGATCTTTTTGACGATCGTGATAACTCTTATGATCCCGTGTTCACAAAAATATTCGTAAATGGTATGGTTCTGAACTTCATTTTTTGTAATCTATCATTATTATTATTAATTTAAATACATGAAGGTACATTGGGTTTATGCGTGCACATAGCATTGATGTTTTCACATTCTTGTAAAGCCACTAACACGCATAGCGTTTCAGGCAGATCCTTAATCGAACTGATTAAGGACCTGCCAATATAATTTTAAGTAGGTAATTTCTAGCAAAATTGAGAAACGTTAACAGGTACATTGTAAGAAAATTTGACGAAGATTAGTAGATACATTAGAGTACTATATGAGGATTATCAACAGGTACATTGCAGCATAATTTGAGGATTATTTCTAGGTATAATATAGTAAAATATGCGTTCAGTATAACATCCATGATATAAGATGATCGCAGTGATTACAACGGTGAGATTGAATGGCTTGCGCTTCATAGCACACAACCTAAAATTAGTCGTTCTCTGGCTAGCAACATTCCCCACAAAATAGGTCGGACTTCTTGCGGCACCACCCCCGAAATGGGTGGTCCCGAGCCTCTCTCAACGTGGCTCCCAAAGCGGGAGCCTGGCTGTTCTGCTACGTCAAAATGCCTCATCGATATTATCACTCCCGAGACGGCCTTT